AGAACCAGAAGCCGGCAGCCAAGTCGCGAAGGCCTCTAGCGAATTTCAGCGAAGCTGAGCGGCTTGAGATCGCGCAGGTTATTCGCAGCAGCAACAGCGTGGCACAGGCCGTCTCAACGCTATCCAAGACAGTCCCCAAGCTCACCGTGAAGGATGAAACCTCCCCTACGTATCTGTCACGCCACACATTGAGAAATTGGTGGCGCAAGCACAGTTCCCTGGACAAGGCCATGACCTTGTCTGGTCGAGACAACAGCCAGCAAGGCAAAACGAGGAGCAGCCCCGCCGGAAGTGCGCTCAATGCCTTAAGCCCCGAAGCTCGCAGGCAAGCAATATCGGCCATGCAGACAGCAGAGTCCACCACCGAGGTCGTTGGCGTCCTGTCAAAAACATTGCCAGGATTCAGTTGCACCGACAGGGATGCTGCCAACTACATTCCACGCACGTCTCTGCACCGTTGGAGAACGAGAAACGCAACCTGGCTTGCAAACAGACAGTCATCTGAACCTACGACCTGGAACGAAGAGTACGAGCAGACCTTCGCCATTGCCTTCGTGAAGCCTGACAAGAGATCCGCCACGACCGTGCCTGAAGGAGACGCCAATGGCCTCTGGCTGCTCAATGGGGCTTGGACATTCTGTCCGACATGTGGTCGAAGGCAGGCCAGGAGTTCTCCGTCGGCATTGTCAGCTTCCTCCATCTACAGTCCCGCCGTCATCTGCTACTTGGGCTGTGACACCGATGCTCAGGACTTGCTGGCTCCACCGCAAGCAAGTGTGACGCGTGTCAAATTGGAAGGATACGTCACCCCTCTGGCCAGGTATTGGCAGCCTTGGGTAGATTACATTGCCAACGGCCAGCTGCCGCTCAGCACTTTGCTGTCGCAGGACGAGTTGGAAGGTTTGGCCGTGCTGGACATAAAGGTTGAGTTCAGAAGCAGACGAGGAGGCAACGCCGAGATTCTGAGCAAGCAGAAACGCACCGTGGTGCGCTGCCGATGGAGACCTACATCTCTTGCAACGAGGGAAAGGAGCGATCAGGCCGCTCGCGCATACACATGGCTACTCACCCACAATGCGACATACGCCAGCTTTGTGGAGCGCCACGAGCGTTTGCTTCGAGATGGGGGCCACGAAGACCATGCTTGGCGTGAGATACCAACTGCGGAACTGCTACTCAGTTCGCCCGGCATCGAGGTGGCAGCGCGACCGTGGCTGTACCCGCTGGCGAGCTTCGGAGATAGCGACCTCAAACATCGGCTTGTACCTCTCGGATGGTTGGATAGCAAATCGAACCCCAGCTCGAGAACCAGTTTCCTACGGAAGTTGACTAGCCGCTGCATCGACTACAGCCGAGACTTTCCTCTACAATGCCTGCTCTATGACACGTTCCTGGCACGCACCATCAGTTCTGTCATTAACGTTGCCAACCAGAAGCGCATAGCTCCGGAACAGGCTGCCTGTGACATGGATATGTTTGAAGGCTACTGGCTGCAACAATTACGAAAGATGGAAGACGTCTGCAGGCAAGAGTGGGAACGCAGCGCCGACATGTCCCAGGCGCTGCCCAGCATCTTTTTCACAGTAGCACCCGCGGAGTGGAGATATGTCCTGCCGGATGGTATGTTCTTCGACGACACTTTGACAGAGCAGCAGGACATGATCACGCTGCACCTCTACCACACTCTGCAAACGCTGCTTGAGGTGCACTTGCTGAAGCACGGACAAAGTCTGACTCAAGTAGGAATCGCCAAGGTACGTCAGTGGAGCTTTCGATTTGAGTTTCAGTCTCGCGGAACGCTGCACCTACACGCCGTTCTTTGGGCAGATCTGCTGCCAGGTTGGACAGCTGCAGACATTACAGGCCGGACCAACACCGGCAAGAGCTCAGCCTTTTTGCGCCTGCTTGAGGCTTTGTTCAACTCTCGAGCAGACGTTCAGTGCGGCGATGGCAGTCATGTATTGCTGAGATACGTCGCCGGTTACCTCGCCAAAGCCTCTGACGCTCTGCAGTTTCAGTCGAAGCAGGCTCACCATGGCAGCGAAGGAAGCCAGTGGAGACAAACGTATCGGCTCTTGGCAAAAAGGTCGCCGATGGAGCAGGAGATGATCATGGAGTTTGCTGGCTTGGCCATGGTCAAGCACTCCTTCTCTGGCATGGCCATCTTCGCACCCATTCCAGGTAGCACGGCAAAAAATACTTCCCGACATCACTACGAAGCCTACCAGCACCACTTGAAGCAACAGGCTGGAGGTTTTGGAGATGCAAGAGGTTTGACTTTTATACAATGGCTACGACGATTTCGTGTGGTAGGCACCAATGAGAAGGACTACAGCATTGCCGCGCGAAACCATGCAGGGCCCGCCAAAGGCAAGGACTGTGGCATCGCGATGTCGTTTCCATTCGAGTTGCTGGACATCTTCGTGGGCGCATGGGCTGCTACGTGCATGGAAGGCATGCTCGAAGATCGACTCCTGCCGGACGTCGACGACAACCTCCAGCTGGTCGGCTTCGACGCAGAGCTCTCACGCCGACGTTCCTTTCAAGCTCCTGAAGGTTGCCGCCATCTGAAAGCAGTGCTTTGCCTCGACGAGTTTCAACTCAAGGACTCCTCGCCGCAGATCTTCAGCCCCGATGTTGGGAAATTCCTTATCGAGGTTGAGCGGGAACTTACTTTTCGCGGCCTGGGACTGGACCGCATTGCCACTTTCAAAGCCAGAATGCACTCCTGCACGTTGCTTCTCCTGAAGATTCGGGATGGAGACGAGGATCCCGCACTCTGGAGCGCGCGCAAACTCTCATCGCCTCCAAGACGCGACTGGTCGCCAGAGCAGCAAAAGGTCCTCGACTGCATCCACAAAGGCATATGCATCAGCGATGCCGGCGCGGCCTCCACCTCCAACCGTCTTCTACAGGTATGCGGTGGACCTGGCACGGGCAAGACTGAAGTCGTCATCGCAGCGGCCAGGCAGGCGCTCGAAGACAACTGCCGGGTGCTCATTGCAGGGCCGGTTGGTCTCCTGGTGTCCATGTACAGGCCTAGCCTCATTTGAGCAACTTATGCTTTCCCAACCTTGCAAGTCTCCTACCAGTTAACAAGTAGTGCCTCGAGAATCCCTGTGTGCAGGTTGCGACTTCCTGCCACCGACAATCTGACAATGGAGACCATCCACTCAGCATTTCAGCTGACTCGAGACGCCGACGCTGCTTACGTACCTCCAGGAAGGCTGCGGCGCTACGATCTTATCATTCTCGATGAGGTCAGCCAAGTCGACAGCGACTCCTGGGCGAAGCTGAAGACGGCTCTGGGCGAGTTGCACCCCGGCCCGTTCGTGGTGTTTGTAGGAGATTTTCATCAGCTCCAGCCTATATCCGGCCCCCCAAGACTTCAACAAGATCTGGACCGACAAGTTCAGCAAGGTCACATGCCTCTGATCGAGCTCAAACATCACCAGGCGGCCCGGTCCGTCGATCCGGAAATGCTCGGCTTCCTAACCATGGCCCGAGTCCAGCAACCTTCACGCGCTGTCCTCGAGGATTTCTTCCGTGGACGTGTTTGGTCTGGTGATATCCACCAAGCGGTGCAGAAAGCCCGACAGCTCGAGGCCGCCGACGCCAAGCCGTTCACATTCCTCACAGTCACGAACCGTGGTGCAGAGAGAATTAACTTAGCAAGGCTGTCCATGGAGTACCCGGCTGAAGCCAGAATCCTGGCAGATGGCGGCGGCATTCCCGCGGAGCTCGGCAAGGTGGAGCTGGCGCTAGGCATGCGAATTCGGTTGACCTACAACGTCGACAAGGACAGAGGCTTTGTCAACGGCAACTCTGGCATCATACGCGCCTTGCTACGCAGGGACATGTTCATTCTTCAGAGCACCCAGAACATTTCCATCCTTGTGCATCCAATCACGGTCAAGGGTCGCAAGTTCTTACCGGTGACTTATGGCTGGGCCACAACCATGAGACGAGCCCAAGGAGCCACACTAGACCACGTCGGGCTGTGGTTTGACCGCCGACTAGCCGACAGAGGATACGCCTATGTTGGCGTCTCCAGGGCCAAACGCCGCAACGACGTTTTCATTCTTGGCCGAGTAAGGCGCACTGACTGGCGTCCCGTCGGCGGAAACCCTGAGCAAGAGCAAGAACACTTGTCAGCAATCAGCGAGAGCTCTAACGAAGAGGAAGACGGGCCGTCGTCCGATGACCTCGAGTCTGCCGACAGCTCCCAGGAGCCAGATTTCAGTTCGTTGAGCTCGGAGTGATTGCGCCATGTATCGATGAATTTGCATTCGCATACAACCTGTGACGGCTGATAGCCTATGAAAACCTGTGCAGCAAGTTGCAACGCCATCATGCCTGCAAATGCTAAACCGCATTGCATGTAGTTGAGCATCTGTGAACCATGCCTCGCATGACCACTGCGGTATCGTGTGCAAGATACGGCCGCCTCGTCGTGACGGCTGGCAACACGAGGGGTGAGTTTCCCAAAACTGACCAGCGCCTGCAAAGAGAGGTTTAAAACATCCGTTGCGCTGCTCACTGTAAGTTCAGAATCTTGTCCGTGGGATCGCTGTTCGCATGCTACGAGAGTCGAGTCGTCTGTAGAGCGCGTACCACTCAGGCGAGTACCAGCCAAAGGGGCACACTTCGCAGGCCGCGAACTGAGTCTCAGCCTTTTCAAGAACAATGTTTTGCCTGTTCTCCCCACCCCACCCTTGATCCAACGCACCCTAAGCCCTAAGACTGCTCCAGGCTGTGCCCGAAAGCGCACACATTGCAGGCCTCGCAGGCCGGGGACTCGATCTTGGGTGCCCTTCCCCAACCCTTGAACCTAAACCCTGATTCTCACATGTAAACCCTAGAATCTAAGGCCTGGCTGGTCCTAAAGCCTGAACCGGCTTGGGGCTGATATTCTTGAGCCTTGTCCGCTAACTCTTGGGCCTTGTCCGCTAATTCTTGGGCCTTGTCCGCTAATTCTTGGGCCTTGTCCACTAATTC